GTGAAGAGGCATGCCTTGAATGATGTCAAACTGCGTAAGACATCTACGTTTAGATTAATTGCAAATGCAAAAGCAACATGCCTGCTATGAACCCAGGCATGAATGCTTCCCAATTGCCTAGTAAAATTGTGGAAAACTTCTGGAATTCATTTCTGAATGAAGCAGCCAACAAAGAACCTATGTCTAATATTCCTGACTAATGTGGCATCATGCAATCACTCACAGAACCCTGTGCTATTTTTGTTTGGATTGCTCACTTCTATTACCACTCCATTCTATTTCCATTTTAGGGAAGTTGCTATTATTCACACTTGTCCCCTATCTTTACTGTTCCAGTTTTCATACACTTATGCCCAACAACTAGGGCACAAATTCCTATTATAAATCTTTGACAGCACAGTGAGACTGGTCTAGAATATATAATGTCACCAATATAGGATGTAATTACATTTGCTTGTGTTGTTCTGCTCCTCCAGTTTAAATTTTTATTATTTTCAAGGCTTATCCTCATTTTATATCAATGTCCATTATTCAGAAGTTGACTCTTAAGCCATTTAGTCAGTATTGTCAGCCCACTCATTAAGTTTTTAAATAGACACATTAAATTTTTCCTAACATCACACTCTTACTCTTGGAAGTGAGTTCCCTAAATGTCTATTTACACTTCACCGTCCTTCAACAGCCACAGAGGTAAGATGAACAGCACAAAAGGAGCATGTAAAGTGCCAATTTACCCAACTAGAGGGAGGAAAAGAAAAAAAAAAAAAAGCCCTCAACCCTCCAGCTGGTATAATCACATCCCTGACAAAAGGCAATTTAGGTTTAGTGTGGGTAACTTCTTTCAAAAGATGGTGCAAAGCACAGTATTTTGGCTACAACCTATGTCTGTAATACCAGACACCTAAAAGTACTCCCTACCCTCATGCTCTGGTGTTTCTCGCTCCGCAAGCCCTGCTTCCCATAAAGAGGCATTCTGTGTTTGCAGGCCAGAGAAAATACGTGACTGAATATGTTTCATTTTGGACACTTAGGAGAACACCATGGGTTAGCCAGTTTCATCACAGACACACAAAAAGCTCCTTGAATGACAGAAGTGAAAAAACAAAATCTTCTTGCCAGATCCACACAGGAGAGCAGAGCCAGATGCAGTTACGTTCACACTTTTAACCCTGACCTCTGTTCTCTCCTGACAGTTTGCTTCAGCGTCAGCCCACCTGCCTCTACATTCTTCTTCATACTTAAGGCTGCCTTGTTATCCTTCTCACTGAACCGTATCTTCCTTAATCCATCTATCTTCTTAGTGACATACCTTCCAACAAAATATAACCTAATGTTTCAGAGAAGCTAAATGGCAAACACTTTCTGGCATTAATGAGAGACCATTAACACTGTTCATTCCCTCCTGCACGTTCTAGCTCCTGGCATGTTTCACATTTTTAAGTACAGATTTGTGTCCCTAAAAAAAGCTAGTATGAAGGGGCTGTGGTTTCAATGGAGTAATTTAGCTCCAAATAATCCTTCTCCAAAAAAGCAAAGACAGCAGTATATGTTTTATAAGGTATCCGTAAAGAAGCAGTCAAGTGAGTATGGCAAAAGTAGGTGCGGAAAAAATAGGACAACAAGGGCAGGTGCCAGTAGTCACCATTCACAGAAGTCTGCACAACTACAATTATTTTAGCTTGACCTTTCTGTGGCTATGATTAGCAAAACCTCAATGATACATTTCCATCCTGAAGATTAAGTATTACGGATCATTTAATAATAATGGTACAAAATGATGTCTATAAAAAAAAAAAAAAGAGGTGTAAAAAGGATAACTTTGTTAAAAAATAATGTAAGAAAGTGTCCTGGTTTATAAATCTAATTAAAGACCCTACACAGAAATGCATCCTAAGTAGTAAGCATAGCTTGTTGGTGAAACTGTATCCACATCACATAGTCTATCCTGCCAAACTCTAAAAGCCTCACAGAATCAGGCCAGTCTTCTTAGAATAAAAGAACAGCAGACAATTTTAAATGTTACAAACTATTTCATTTTAGATTTTTAGTACTGCATTAGATGATGCAAAGTCAACATCAAAACAGTACGTTTCTGTTCTGCTGAAACAAAATACGTAACCAAAACCTCTCTTTCTTTCATCTGCTTCTTTTAATGCTTCATTTTCTCCAGGATTCTGAACTACATCATGTTTCAAAACACCGTAACAACCTGGCGCCTTTTTTTTTTTTTTTTTTTTTTACATCTTTTACACAGCTCTTGTAATAGCTGGAATCTTTCATACTTCACACGCTCTTCAGAGTCCCTTAGATCTATCTGAGAAGCGGTAGCAGAAAAATGATGTTTTAAGTTTAAAAAAAAAAAATGTATCGGAGGTTCATAATTAAAAAAAAATCACCTTAATTTTATCTGTATGCAATACGCTATTAGTATACAAGAATTTACAGGGTTTTACAACAATTAACTCACTTAAAAGTCTCCGCATTTCTACAATGTTTATTGTTGCACAATAAATTGATGAAGAAAGAAAACCTAAAAATTTAAGGATTAAATTATGAAATTAAGACATTTAGCTTCTCATTGAACTTGCGTGAGTTAATAAAATTATTGCAGCAAATGCTGCACTGAAACAATGCACTTACTTGGTACAATAACTAAATAGCCTGACATACTACATTTCACACACACAATTATCAAATGTGAAACTGTGATGCTCTGCATTTGTGTATTTTTTCTAAACAATGAGGATAAAAATGAATAACGAACAGTTACTTCAATCTGTCCAATTGGATCAGTGAACAGCCAAGTTTTGAAACAGCAGTACACATAACCACAAAGACTCACTGAACCAAAGAAAAGTCCATCTTGGAAGGGACCTTTGGAGACCGTATGATGCAACCTCCTGTTAAGGGCAGGGCATCAGACTAATTATCCAGGGCTCTTGTCCAGCCAAGTCTGAAATACTTCCAGCAAGAGAGACTCCACCTCTTTTCTGGGCAGCCTACTCCAATTGTTCTCAAGCTAAGAAGTTACTTCCTTATATTCAGACAGAATTTCCCCTGAAGCAACTTGTGTCCATTCCCCTTTTTTCCCCCCACTGTGCATCCTGGAGGAGAGGGTACCTCCATCTTCTCTCTAACTACCTTTTAGTTGCTTGGAGGATTGTGACTAGATTCCTCCAAGCCTTCCATTCCCAAATTCCTTCAACCTTTCTTCATTTGTCAAGTCCTTCAACCACCTAATCGTCTTTGTGGCCCTCTCCTGGACTGTCTCCAGCTTTTCAGTGAAGTAGAAAATTTAGCCATCCCTCTGTAACACTCATGAAAAAGGGCCCATTCTGCATATCATCTGCTCGAAAGTATCGGACTGCACACAGACTCAGGGTGGGCTGCGCCACCTTAACCTTGCATCATGCCTGTAATGTGTAATGCTTTAGCTTTTTTCGATGCACTTTTGGAGTAATAAGTGAACCTTATACCTTTACAATGCAGACTTGTTTAATTACCTCTTTTTAAAAGTCAGTTGAAAAATACCATGGAAATGAAGCTTTTCATACCAGTATTCATTTTGCACTCATCTTTACAACAGCAGTAAAATACTTGCAAAGCCTTTGATTACAAGATAAAGAAACAGTGTTAGAAGTGTTGCTGTCAAGAAATTTTTGGACACAAATAGTCAATATGGAAAAGAAGCTGCCATGCAGTTTCATGAATAATTTCAAAGAATATCACGCTGCTTTAGTTCTGCAGATTTTAATATGAAACAAATGCAAGTACTGACAATTTACCTTTAATTTCATTTGAAATGAGCAGCTTATTTTCTGTCTCCTCTTCTTCACACTCTTTGTTCTTTATGGAGTCCTTTGTTTGTAGTACCCCACTGAGGAAAATAAGATGTTCATTTTTTATTAATACATCATAAAAATCACTAACCATGATGACATCTCTTGCTAACAATGCTATTAACACTCCAGGATTCCCACACAAAGGATGCTGTATCTTCATAAAATAAAAAGAGGGTCTAATTGCTGACTTACACAGATGGCATGACTACTAACATGAATTCTGCAATGAAGGCTCAAGAGTAGTGTAAACTAAGATTACGTAAATCATATCAGCACACTTGACCTCATAACTGAAACTGGAAAATATAGAAATTAAGGTAGTGGATGTGTCCATGGCAGAACATGGGAAGAGGGAAGAACACATCTATAGCTACATCTCCTACAAACCCTTATTGGTTACCCAGGCCATTTTCAGGAGCTGTCTGAAACAACATCTACTCCTTTTTTCTCTGTACTGCCAATCTGTACTACCTTCAACAACCCCTCCAGCTCCTGTACCACCCTCACACACTGTTGTGCATCTGTTAACTATCTCACTGAAAAAATCCATACATATGCTTTTGTTACAGTTTTCATTACTTCTTACCCAACTACAAGAGCTGCTCTCTGCCTGCTACCTGTGGCTGCTCCCTCAGCTTTGCAGCCCAGACATGTGCAAACAGCAAACACTTTCCCCCTGTTGAGAAAAATGGGGCAAGAGAAGTGGAAATGAGTACTTCTAAAGGTGTGGGTGTATCTTCATAAAGACAGACCCTGGGAAGTTCCTTTTCAAACCCTGCCTTCAGAAGGTATTACTAGCCTGTGGCTTCTCACAGAAACTAAATTTATACGAGCTTACTGACATTAAGTGTGTATTTCCTTCTGCTTTTAAAAACTTGAGAATGCTTTGGCCAGTTCTTACTAAACCACCACAGATGCAGAGCTCCCAGAGATACTAAGTATGTAATGAATGTTTTCTAGAAACAGGCATCAGATAGAGCCTTGACTTTAAGATTACTCTAAGAAAGCTGACTACATGAACTCATGCTTTACTATGTACCAGAGAAGCAAGAAAAAATAATACCTTTACAGAGGTCTCAAAGCAGAGATAAAAAGCCAAACTAGAACTAACACCTTGTTAGACATCAGGTTTAGCTAACTTCAAAACACAAATCCACTCAACAAATTTAATTCCATTGTGTACATTTATACTATGAAATACAATTTATATATTAAATACTATAATATTATACTATATTAGTATATACTATTATGCTATTAAATAGAAGTAAGTATTTGGGAATAAATCAGCTAGGAATTGCAAGTTCACTGACATCAACAGAAATATATTTAACATGATATTAATAGTGCAAAATGAACACAACAAATCAGAAAATCCAGCCTTTGTAGTCTGATAGGACACAAATAATAATGGTATGAGAAGCAATGCCAGTGGAATACAGCAGCCATGCCTTCTTGACCCACAAAGGACTTCTCCACAGTGTCTTCCTTGGAAATATCACTTGCATTTATTCACTTTAAAATTCTCTTCCTAACCTCCACAATCACAGAAAACTTCTAAAGTAAGATGCTACAAAGTAGTGCAATCAATTCTGAAGTCAAAGATTACTGTAATTTAATATAAGGAAGAGAGAGACCACCAAAACCTGTGAGGAAATGTGTCTTCTGATTTTCTTGAGGACAATTTTCATAACAACATACATTCAGAAATTTTATGTCACAAAATACAAGACAGTATCATGAATTGAAGGTTTCGGGGAAGGGGTTGGAAGATAAATATATTTTTCTTTTAAGAGGTAATACCATTTGATTCCCAAGCCTGAGTATTCATCTTCCTCAAATGTAAATGTTTCCAGAGAGGAATTCCTATTACAGTGAAATCATTTTGCTACTCTGAAGACAGTATAAAGACACATTAAAATTAAAACTGAATATACTGTAGGCATGTAATTTTTATTTGAAGCACTGGAACAGGTTGCCCAGAGAAGCTGTGGATGCCCCATCCCTGGCTGTCTTCAAGGCCAGGCTAGATGGGGCTTTGAGCAACCTGGTCTAGTGAAAGGTGTCCCTGCCCATGGCAGGGGGGTTGGAACTAGATGGGCTTTAAGGTCCCTTCCAACCCAAAACATTCTATTATTTTGAATTTTAATCTCAGGAACATTCCAAAGAAGTATAATGCAGTTTTTATGTACATATTTTTGCAAACCAAAGTTTTCTATATAATTGTTTGTATGCACAGATATCTCTTAATAATTTACAAAAAAAAAAAAAGACAACAGTAAGTGGAACTGGAAATCAGTTGAGTTCCACTTGGATATAACACAGCAAAGTAAATCTAAAGGCTGGTTGCATATGCAGTTGGTTCATCAATCGAAGACTTCTATGAAACAAAAGATTACCTGCAACATGAAGGTATACACAACTGTACTGAAGTCAAACATAATTAAATCCACACTAGAAGCTCAGCAGCTAAAGAGCACACAAGTATACATAGCTATGTCTTCAATTATGCATGTGTACTTTGAACACAGGGCTAAGACGACCCACTGGGTACTGCAATAATCAGATGCTCAATATTTTATAACTCTAGCCGTTCATATATACCTGAAGTTGTGAACACTATTTTTCATGCCTTTTTAAAAGGAAATTTATTCAACTAAAAGTCCTCTCTGGCTATGCTGGATACATAAAGAACGTGGAAAGCTAGATGATAAAATGCAGATAGTCATCAGTGTATTTAAACAGTTCAAACACAAACTGCAAAGCCTCTGGGTAGTTCAGAGTTGCACAAGGCTATCACTCTGCATGAAAATGACTCAATAAAGGATACTTATGCTATCTGTTGCATGTTCTGCATGAAAATGACTCAATAAAGGCAACAGATAGCATAAGTATCATGCTTTTTAGGGCTTCATAAGGATAACACCCTCTAAAAAATGAAAGACCACATAAATTGCTCTTCAATTAATTTTAAGAGATATTCTGTAAAGCCAATGTTTATTTCTAAAAGTAAGATGAATTTATTACAATTATAGTTAACATGATGAATGACAACTCCAACTGAATACAGGCCATTTCTGAACTGCACATGAAACTGCCTTCTGTCTTTTTTTTGCTGTTTAAATTCATGTGAGTGACTAGTGAATGCTATTTTTTGGTGATAAGGAAATTACATCAACCCTTCTTGATGCTCTACTTGATCTTTTTCAATACCTACTTGATCTTTTTCAATATTACTTTAATAATATCTCCTGATTGAAATAATGTGAAAGAATGTTCGAAAGAAAAGCTGGCCGATTTTAAAAGATGCAAAAAGATAGGGTTTTTATACCATAGACTTTATTGGTGCAAGCTTGGAAACTCTCTTGTCATTTTTTGTCAAAAAGATATTCCAAAACTTGAGAGTTAAGGAATTCCTTTTCATTTTTAAACATAGGTGCATATTTGTGCATGTACAATAACATTGGTACAGTAGAAGGATCTCAACTTCAGATAATTCCCTGTCTTGTAGTATTTTTCCTCTCCTCTCTGATACACATATTTATTTCTTAAATACTTTGTAACACTTCCTCTCTATTTCTAAAACAAAAGACAGCTGAAATAACTACCACCTCTTTCCCACTGCTTCCAAGAATTCCATGGACAAACCACCATCCTGCACTGTCTGGTAAGTTGCATTTTAAACTGACAGGCTCCAACCAACCACCCATACTTTGAACTGAACTGATAATTACCCAGGTGCCTTCTTATCTTTCACATCACATAACAGGGGCTTCTTGCAAAGAGATTTACTTTCTGCCTCTTCCTGCTTAGTTGTTTCTGATGCCGTTTTCCCAGATGATCGATTGTGACCTGGAGATTTCACACCTCCATGACACGGGCTGGGACATTTTCTGTCACTGTTTAAAACAAATTTTTTTTACCGCTGAATTGTTGTTCAACTTAATTTCTCTACGGGTAAAGAGTCATTAGTATAAATGAAGAAATAGAAGGTTTTTGTTTGTTTTCAGAAATATGCAGAAGTGTCTTACTTGCCACCAACAAAACTGTATGCATGGGATTTTCAGAAAATCACAATACAGAACTCTCTTCATGAAATCAAAGGTAAAATGTTTAAGCAATTCAGCAGCAACAGAATTTGCCTAACATTATTTTTGATAATAAGATCTCCACTTCAAATATCTGTAACACAAGCAAACTTTGAAGTATCATTTTCCTCCTATCCCTTCTTTCCCTTTCACAATATACCCTTATGCAGTCAGGAACCTGGGCTACCTGTCAGTGGGTAACTGAGTCACTATGGATTTCTACAACCCTACACTTGTAAGAACAATTGAACCAGGCAGTTCTCTTTGACAGCTGAATATTTTGGTGTTTTAAGCACGAAGCTGAAGCTGACTCCGAGAATGTAATTTAAAACACCATCTATTGAAAATATGTGGTCATTACAATGGGACCTGGAAATATTCACTACAAACATTCACATTTACATTAATGTAGCCCTTGAAATACTTCTTCCCTGTGAGGGTGACAGAGCACTGGAACAGGCTGCCCAGAGAGGTGGTGGAGTCTCCTTCCCTGGAGCCTTTCAAAAGCCACCTGGATTTGTTCCTGTGTGATCTACTCTAGGTGATCCTGCTCTGGCAGGGGATTAGACGTCCCTTCCAACCCTCACCACTCTGTGAATCTGTGTGAATCTGTGAACAGAATGGAAAACCTCTCTTCCTTTCCTTCTTAAATTGCCTGTGTATCCCCACAGCCCGAAACAAGCACAGGAATTGGGCGTCCACAATTTCTGATGGAAAATCATCATCAGAAAATCATCATCTTGGTATCACATCCCTTGGCTTTTTCCCAGTGGTGCTGCTCAAAGCTTCAGCTACAGATTTCAGCATTGTCCTTGTGAAACTCACTCCTAGTAATTTGATTCCCCACTCCCACAATAAAGACAGAATCCATAGTGGCTATTCTTCAAAGAGCAACATTAATTTACAATCACATCAATAAGGCCACTCCAGCAAACAAAAGAATCATTTTCTTAAGTGAAACCAACTGGCAAACAATGCATTTTAAATTCCAATTAATCATTTAGTAGGCTAGATAGTCACACTGAAGATTAAACCAAACTCTCTTTAAATCATACACAGTAAAATCAGCATCAGTCTTGGACAGCTCAGTGACCTTTTTGATAAAGACTGATTAAACCATTTCTTCCCTGTAAATGAAAATGCAGATAAATAGGCAGGCCCTTCTGAAACCACTCAGCCATTACACAACTACAAATTATGTTGCAGAACACTGAAATCAAGTACTGCTGTTAGTCACGGACATCGCTTCAATTGTAATTACTTGATTACAGGAGAGGTCGATCTTTCACTTGCTTCCACTTTTCTGTTTCTCTGGACAGGACTGGCTGCAGGCATCTCCCCGCTCAATCGGTCAGGTAAGAGGCTTTCTTTGTTCAAGTTCATTTCAGAATATGGGCAGCTGACCGCGCTGGAAGTTGAAGAAGAGAAATGCCTCCTTATTCTCAGACACTTTACTGACCTCATCAGTTCAAATGAAATGATATCAGAGTTTTCTAGAAGTAGATGCAATCAATTAATATAAAGATGAAAAAGAAATGCAGCAAGTAGTCAACTTCATAATGTTAATAAATCCACTGATTAAAAACCTCAACCTGAATGTTTTTCACATTTCCTTTTGACAGCAATTTATGCAACACAAATTGTATTAATTTATATCACAGCATACATTCTGGAAAATTGCTTGATGAATGTTTAGCCGGTGCCCTCATATCTTTAGCAGTATTCTACACATAACATACAGGGTGCCTTTGACTATATACCCACCTCTCTACAAACAAAATCGTATTCCCACTGCTATTTTTCCTGCAAAGGAGGGTATTTCTACTATGTAATGTCCACACAAAAGCTGCATTGCAAGGCCACAATATGAGGAATGCAATGTTTAACTGGTTAGTCAGGTGACATACACTTCAAAGATAACAACCCAAATTCTGAAAGGTATATATATGCCACGACAGTGAATAACATGCTCAGTTTTCAAATCCCTATTTAAGATACAGGAGAGCCTGAGTCATGACACTAACTGTGTTCTAAAAATCATGCTTTCCTATTCACCTGCTTTATTATAAGGTAAAATGTAAAGCCCCCAAGTCCTGAGATTTTGTTTTATTTTCTTTACAAGAATGTAACTATGTGCCTTTCCACAAACTGCTTCAATGTTGTATTTGTTTCCCTGATTGTTACATGCATGATTTCCAAACACAAGTCTCCAATATAAACAAGTTTACCTTGCCAGCCATATGCCTTGCCACCTCCAAATTACAAAAACTAAATAGAAAACCAATAGATCTCATTATCATGTTCATTTTACAAAGCACAGAATAAAAAATAATTTTAAAAAACCCTTTTATTCAAAATATGCCCCACATTCTCTTTTCTTCTGCCAACAAAGCTCTGGATTCACAGTGAGTATGAATCAACTGCTATCACGAGACTGGACAAATATTAGTAATCTAATTTGGGTGAAAATGACAGTATCAGCCTTTTTTTTTTTTAACACTTGTATAGCTGTGCTGTACTTGAATTATGGAGGAAAAACATGGCAGCAGGATAGAATTTCTGCTTTTCTAATCAAGATGTTTGATCCCTGTTTAAGGCCACTCCAAGCAGATGGTGTTCCACAACATCCTGTACAGTGTTTTCAAGGGACAGATAGCCACCCATCCCCAGAGGATCTACACAGCAGTTATCTTTGCCGCCTTCTGAAGAACTGGGCGGTAGTCCCAGCACTTCCTCTGAGATACAGGCACTTCAGTATTTTTGCTAGGAGAACCCTCATACCACAAGTTTACATAGCAGAATAAGATATAGCCAAACGGGTGGCCAGTCTCTAAAGCACTACTCTTGAAATGGGGAATTTTTTTGTTAATGAAAAAGTTTTAAAGACATGGAACAAAACATACAAAGAAAAATTTAACTTGGAGCATTTAGCTTTCATCTCTAATTCTTCTTACGCAGAATATGGCATTTTATTTTAGATTTATTTATATTCCTCTACTTACATTTACTTTTGAACCTACACGTTTCGTCTGTCTTAGGACTAGCCTCTGCTAGATGTCTGAAAAGAACAAAAAAACCCCATGAATTGAAAGGTGGGGAAGGAAAGAAGAACACTAGGGAAGAGGGGAAGTTGTTTTATATTCTCAATTCTTTATATTGCTACATCTATCACAATGATGGCTTTTTTCCCTTTCAAATGAGCTACAAGATGAAAGATACAGGTTTCTATTCAGAAAAAGGTTTTAAGGAGACAATGCTAGTGGGATTTAAGCTCTTGCTGAGACAAACTCATATCACTGTGATGAAATACAGTTATCAAAAACTCAGGAGTATATTGGTTAATCTCGGTTCTGCCATTGCTATCAGGCAAAGCATGTAATCTTCTTTTGGCTTCCGAAGCTCACAGGGGTATTTGGAGGCTTAATGTTTTTAAGCAGTTAGGGGGTTGTTTTAAGGAAACACTAAACACTACCAATGTGGTATTTAACTTCAGCTGTGTATTATTAAACAAGCCTTACACCACAATGAAATCTGACACAATTTCATGTTCAGCA